CTCTTTAATGGTTAAAAGTTGAAATTTTTATTTTAAGCATAATTTTTTAACATAGCTAAATTCAAACTTTAAAAAAAATACAATAATGCTTGTGCAGAGACTTCAAGATACCATATCATCCTGGTAAAAGCGCTCAGCAAACTTAATTAAGAATACCCTACATTCTTTAAACACAAAATCCATTAAAAGCAACTCGTCGCACCTGAATGAACAACTTTACAATCCATCGTTGTGAAAAATCCCCATCGACAAATAAAAACGAGAACGGTAGCGAACGTTAGAATTAAAGGTGAGAATATATTAAGATTTTTCAGTTATTGTTCTTATAGTTGTTTTCTGCCGTTCTTTAAATAGAAAGGAGAAAGCGAGAAAAGGAGCTATGGTTGACTGCTCAAGATAATGCAATAATTTAAAAATGGATTACATCTAGATTCTAGAAGAACAGAAGCGGAAACAAGTTGACAATGGCATTAAACTTGAGTGAAGCGATGCCCAGAGCACCACTGATTGAGTGAAACTGGACATGAGGGATTAAAGTCACACAAGTTTGCGAGAAATAATCTTTCAAAACCATTTTTTTTCCACTCTCGAAAATTGTTTACAGGCATTTCTTTTTTATTGAAATCCCTAGGAATAAACTTTAAAAATATTAAAAGAGAAATCGTGTTTGGTTATCAAAATATATTGCAACAACGTTTTTTCTTCATTTTTCCTAATTATAAATAAAGCGTGTCTGAAATATTTTACCGTCAAAAAACAACCGTTTTAACTATTTACGCCAGACTTTGTTTATAGCAGTAGTAGAAATATGCTTTAAGGAAAAAAAATTTTAAATTTGCTTTCAAAATAAGTGGATATTTTCTTCTTTTACCATTTTGCGAAGTACATTGGTTTAAATCTAAATTAGGTTTTTGATGCATTCCATTTTTACTTAGACTTAATAGTCTGTAACAACAAGCTAAATTACAAGGAAAAAATAAAAAGGAAAGAATTACGCTCTCCGTTATTTTTGAAAGTGAAATAAGTTCATTTGACGCTACATATTATTTATACTCTATGGTCTTAATAACTATTTTTACATTTTAAAGTTTAATCAAATTGTGGTGTTAAAAAAGACCCAAGTTAATTGACCTTAGCCAATATTTTTAAATTCTTCCCCTGAATATCTCCATATAGGAAAAAAGGGCTCTCTTCAAAATAATGGCCACTTTCAAGAAACATTGGCACATATTTTGAAAACAAAGCTGTCCGTACCAGAGTTGGGCGCCGATTACAGTAATCGATTATAACTGTAATTGATTACAGATAATTACTGCTATCAGGGGTCAGTTCAGACATTTTGTGAAAGGTCCGTTTTTCGTGAAATTGTAAAAAAATTACTCACATTTTTTCAATCAGGGTCCGCTTTTAAAAATTTGTGCAAATAGGGTCCGTTATTGCAAAAAATTGTAAAGACATACATGATAATGCTCAAAACTGTAAAATTATAATTAAAAAAAATAAATTTCAAAAAATAAACAACAATTGCTCCTTCTAAATTAGAGATGCAACATACAAATATTTGGTATTTAGCCTATACTGCTGAACGCAGAATATTAATTTCGGACGAATAATGGAAGAATCGTCTGCCGAAGACAAAACTTAATTCATTTACATCCATCTTTCTTGTTTTCTGCCCTGGAAAGGGTTTATTCGATTAACAAAATAATAATGAAGGTAAACAAATTTGTGAAGGGTCCGATAAAAAGAAAAAATCATTTTGTGAAGGGTCCGTTTTTATGAAAAGATATTTTGTGAAGGGTCCGTTAACGGACCCAAATTTCTTCTAAACAGACCCCTGGCTATGTAATCAATTACTTGTAATCGCGATTACAGGTAATTGCGATAATAAATAATCACGATCTCGGATTACATCAGTCATTACAGTAATCAATTACTGGTAATCATGATTACAAATTTTGATTACAACTGTAATGATGATAACAATAATCAACTACTTGTCATGCTAACGGTAATTAATTACTTAAGTTGACAATTACTTGTAATCATGATTACAACTCACCATAATTTTGATTACGGCTGTAATCATGATTAAATTAATCAATTACTGGAATTCTTGATTAAAAATTATTAAAATATGTGATTACTCATGATCATGTGATTACGTATAATCATATTACGTAATCATATGATTATGCGTAATATGATCACATATAATATAATTCATAATCATATGATTATGCATAATTCTATGATCACAAGTATTCTAAATATACGATTACAAGTAATGACGATTGCATACCGTATACACGATTTTACAGTACAAATAGTATAATGTATTGCATAATTATACATTTTGTACGCATTTACATACAACGTATGCAGATATGAATGTAACTAAAATATATGTGGGTCATTCTCACAAAAACAGTCATTTTCATTCTGTAATGTAATTCAGATTCGNGTGAGAAAAACCTATGTGTTAAATTTTTCGACTACATCTATTAATCAATTAACATTTTTGCCCAACTCTGGTCTGTAGGCGATAACGAGTTAAACGCATTGAAACTTTCGCAAAAATTCAATTAAACCCATTTCTTTCATTATAAAATAATAATGTTCAAATAAACATAAAAACTAAAGTAGTTAAAATCTATTGAACTTAGAATTTCAAAGAATTTAATCAGACTTAAAGTATTTGCCTTTTACTATCATATTTCAATATTTTATTACTTTAATCGAGAAAGCATTACTTTAATATTTTATGGTGTTAAAACTTCCAAGAAATGTTCCATTTTAACCATTTTGGAGCAGAATTTCTTTGAAACATTTCTCATACTTTAAGAAAAGTGATAACTTTTTAGCATTTTAATAATTTATGACTGCAAAATACGAAATGAAACACCGATGGCTTTCTGTGTTAAAAGTAAAATCTTTCAAAAAAAGTTACTTCCCAACTATAATTTTTCAAATTTGCACTTATTTAAAGTCAATTTAGATCTAAGAGAAATTTCTTTAATTTACGAAATCAATTATCGTTGAACTTTTGAAAATAATTGGGAAAATTGCAGATAATTACAGAAAATAGGAATTTTCGGATTTCATAATTTGGTACAAACGTAATTCCTGTAATCTAACACATTTTAGTAACTATTAAGAGTGTTTTTTATAATTAAAAAATCCCAAAAATATTTTTGCTTGTAATTAGAAAAAATTTATAAAAAGGGCACCGTTGTCCCATCTGCGTTAAACTTATGAGTGAAATGGTCGCTGATCACTATCTGTATCTCAATTTCTAATTTCTAGCCTAATTTCGAAGGCTAGTATAATTTCTAGTCTAATTTCGATTAAAAAAAATTTATCCCCAATAAAAAAAAACACTTCATTCATCGCTTTAGTGTTAGCAATGGTAGACAAAACAATGTTGACGGTGAAAAGTAATACAACGATTAATTAAAGAGTTCCAAAACAAATCAACGTCAAAGGGTTAAGACAAAGCAAAGATTTTACACTCAAGTCTTCCTGTTCATTTTTGTCTGAAAATTATCAAATGTGAAAAGCTTAATTTTTGTTAACAACCTTAAAACTATTTTTTTTTAAAAATTAGATATCACAAAAATCAAACCCCGTTGATTTAAAAAATATATATTTATTCATTCAAATTTAAATGCCTTGAAAATATAAGTTGTTACAAAGGATATGCAGATATATCTGTCCAATTAAAAACTTAAAAGTTTTCATAATATTTTATCCCCACACTATTCTTCTACAACGTATATCAAAAACTTAGAAATGCAAGAATTCATTTTAAAAATATATTCCAAGTTATATGTTTTACATTTTTTAAGTATTACGTCTGAAACGTGTAAAGTAAAAATAGAAAAAGAGAAGAAAATTCATACGCCAAAAAGCATTTCGCTGACATATTTATTCAGTTTTCATAGAAAAGTACAAAATGATTGCCAAGAAAATTCATATTCATATATTCAAATATTATCCATCAAATCTCGCAGCTTTCCTAACGTGATTTTTAGAAATTTCTCGATACTAACGTTTTTGGTACATCAGCTTGGCAATCTATTCTATTCGAATAAAATGTAGGCACCAATGGAATAAAAAGAAATACAAAAGAAAGATTTGGCCTATCTGTATATTCGATTGCAGTGTTCAATTCGGCTAATATATATTCAAATATAAAATATTCAGTGCTTTGAAGAAGAAAAAATGTCGCGGGAAACAATTCTTAAGATTTCTCAAGTTAGCCCCCCCCCCCGAAAAAAATTATATTGCGATGCGTAAAGCATTAAGGACATTCTACACTTTAAGATGTTCCCCAATTTATTGAGATTTATATATAATTTTGAAATTCTTACATTATGGGATCATAAATGTTAAGGACTAAAAAACTGTGTTAAATAACTCAAATGTAAACCTGGTAATTGAAAGAATTAAAACCAGTTTATTACTATAACACCAAAAAACTCAAATTGCATGTCAGTGAGCTCAAATTGCATGTTTGAAAAATGAACACTGCTCAAAATGCGTGCTTAAGAAAATAGAAAAAGCTCGAAATGCGTGTTTAAGAAGATGAACATTGCTCGAAAAGCATGCCTAAAAAAACACAAACAGCTCGAAATATGTGTTATAGAAATTGGAAACAGCTCGAAATAAGGGTTTAAGAAAATGGACACCGCACAAAATTAGTCTCTAAAAAAGTGAACACCGTTCAAAATTAGTGTTTAAAAAATGAAAAATGCTCAAAATGGACATTTAAGAAAATGCTCGTTGCAGTTGATTCAGTTTTTCAAACTTTCCTTACAAAAAATTCTCTTTTTTAAAAGAATAAACTAATAGAATCAAATAAGTTCGCAATGAGGTGACGCTAATTTGTCCAAATCACTTAGTACATTTTTCAAAATACTTTTTTTTTAAAAAAGGTATTAAAAGTCATCAGTTCTTCTTACAAGGTTATAATAATAGTATAAGGTTATAGTGCAATGTTATGATAATCTTCCAAATTTGTCGGTATACGAATTTAGATTTCTTAAAACCACGTAATCGTCTAGTGTTCTGAATACGAAGAGGTGTTTGAAAGTTACAGCAGTAATATACCCATCGAAATCCGAGTCTTTGCCCTGTAATAATTATGCACAGTGTTTAAAACAGTAACGAGAAGTTTCATTTGAGTTGTGTCAATTTTCTTAAACACACATTTTAAGCTGTGCTCAGAATAAAAAGCTTACCTACGGAGTGATGACATTCTTTTTACAAAAATCCCAAATAAAATCTTAAGAAATTCCTAATTTCTCCTCTCCTCAGATGATTAGTTCGAAAGTGATACGATTCGTTCGATCTTATAAACTACATTTCTGATAAGATTTCACAAAAAAAAAAAAGAAAAAAAAATGCGGTTATTACGAAACGCTTTGTATTAGAATTTTCCAAAAATTTGTAACTAACTTTGCTTTTGAATTCGTCATCGACACAACAATATAGTGGGGTAAAAAATCCGAAAACATAAACAAGCCATGCCAAATTATAAGTAATGAAGAGACAAATACCGTTAACTAATTTAACACCCGCTCGCTTAATAAACAATAAAAAGCTTATTAATCAATAAGGCAGAGCTAAACACTAAGAAATCATACACGAAACTGGAAGGCAGACACAATTAAGCTAAAATAAACAAATTTTTTATTTATTTATTATTATTTGTTACCCCTCTCCGTGCCTTTGCGTTATTAGATTAGGAAAAACACGTATTTAGTAGTTCATACTATCAAAATGAAAATTAACTGTAATTAGTATCATTTGTTGCTCAAAATATACCACAATTAATTTTCTCCGATACTAATACTTTTCTCGGGAGGACGTAGAAAGTATCTATATTAAAACTACGCAGTATTGGTGCAATTTTAATGGGTGCCAATTATACTAACATTAACTTCGTAACTGTATTAGAATATTACATTACTGATTTTACTGATTGCATTACTGATTTTTAAATAGTTACTTTATTATTTCACTCATAATCCATATTAATCTTTTATACGTTTTTAAAAAATTGATTCTAAAGAATGGGTAACTATGTTTAAAATTTTCAGAATTCCAGTTCAAATTAATGATTACAAAAATGTATCACATATAAAATGAAGCAAGAAAATAATCAGAGCCCTTTTCTTGGCAAAGGTAAACACATTTCGAACACAATTCTTAATGTCACCAAATAAATAAAAATCTTGCCAATAAAATTATATGACTTTTTCACCGCCTTCATCCTTTTCGCTACAGCGATAGTGTGGAATATTTTTTTAAGCATCATTTTCTAAAACTATAAATATTTATTTCTAGGAAAACATTAAATATACTTTTAAAATGAAAATGGTAGCTTATGTAGCAAAAGAGTCGTGAAAAAAAAACAATTTAGTTTTCTGATGACACTTTTTTGCATGTATAATTACAATTACGTCTTACGTGAAATGAGTTTGGATTTAAGACGTGCAATAGAAAGGGAAACTGTCTCGTTTCAACGTAAATAAAAAGCACTTAAATAAAATACATTTTATGGTGTATTTTTTCGATTGCTTTAAAAAGAATCTGAACATCAGAAAATATTTTTAAAGCCATTAAACGAAGCCATTATGTACTAATGAAATGTGGAAGTAACTGTGCAAAAGCCTTCAAAAAATAATGTGTTATAAGAACATAAAAACGATAAAATACTGGGGTTTGCTACAAAAAATTGCTTATACTATAAAAATTGCTACTTGCCCGATACACCGGACTTGCTTGAGTGATCATTAGTATTTAAAAAAAAGAGTCAGAACTAAAGAATGGTGTAAAAACTAGGGCCTTCTCAAAGAAACAGTAAAAAAAAATTTAAAAAAAAAAGAATCTCTAGAATTCCTTACCTCCCCAGGTGACACTCTAGGATTCCCTATCTCCCCAGGTGACACTCTAGGATTCCCTATCTCCACAGGTGACACTCTAGGATTCCCTATCTCCCCAGGTGACACTCTAGGATTCCCTATCTCCCCAGGTGACACTCTAGGGTTCCCTATCTCCCCAGGCGACACTCTAGGATTCCCTATCTCCCCAGGCGACACTCTAGGATTCCCTCTCTCCCCAGGCGACAGTCTAGGATTCCCTCTCTCCCCAGGCGACACTCTAGGATTCCCTCTCTCCCCAGGCGACACACTAGGATTCCCTCTCTCCCCAGGCGACACTCTAGGATTCCCTCTCTCCCCAGGCGACACTCTTGGATTCCCTATCTTCCCAGGTGACACTCTAGGATTTCCTATCTTCCCAGGTGACACTCTAGGATTTCCTATCTTCCTAGGGACAATCTCTATCTTCCTAGGTTCGCAAAGCAAACGAGTTCAGTGAGCGATGGTGCATTGAATAAAAAAGCCATATTTAATAAATCAAATTTAATAAAAGTGAACAATAAAAGTAAATAATGTGATGGTTTGACATTTGTTAGGCTTCCCAATAAGTCTTCCTTACCAATCCTTTGACTACCACAAAAGTGATACATAAAATTATTAATTACAGGGCCCTCTGTTGATAGGCTAAAATTCGTAACATTCTATATCACTTTGCCCAAACCCAAATAATGAAATTTTCTTTTATTTCAACGGGAAGATTTCCAGATCAACGATATTTTAGCTGGAAATATACATAAATGTTTGGGATTACATACTTCTGCAAAAGATTCAACTTCGTAATTTATCAAGTCGCTCCATATCCGGAAACAAAACTTTGAGATCTACTTCTTCCGGTAGTGGACATCCGTTCTAGGTCTCTCAAATCTTTTGGAAAACATCCGTCTTTGAATTCTTTCACTAGACATTTTTAAGCTTTTATGTAAGATCCCATTCCCATTTTGTAGTTTAAGTTTTCGTGTAAACTTTGAAAAATTTGCACAAATAATTAATTCGTCTGAAATAAGATGAACACAATGTGTGAAATGTTTAATGGTAGTGAAGTGTGGCTTAGGTCATCGTATAACCAATTATATAAGATGCACATATGAAGTTGAAATTATTTTTAATTTCTGAACTTATTCGAAATACACAGTGGATTTACGTAACAAAATGCTTTTCAGTAAAATCTTAAAAATGTTAATATTTTTAACTCTACGAATTTACTTTTCGTTATATTTAATAAAATAGCTAAGAATTTTCATGCAATTTTATAACATAGTTTTCTAGTAATGATATGTTTTCATTTTATAGTCATTCTAATTTCTAAAAATTCTCCGCTAAATGTAAGAAAATGAAGAATATCTACTGCTTCATAAGATGCAGTATATATTTAATTAACAACCAACTATTTTCCAAGATAATGAATAGAAAACCTAAAACATCAAGAGCAAATTAGAAGTGCTTTTAACAGCGAAAAATAAGCTTCATCAACACCACTTCATCAAAATAGCTTTTCATAATATAAACATTGATTATGCATTTAGTGCAACTTCATCGTAAGATTTATAAATACCAAAAAAAGAATTCTATTTTTATACTTTAAAAATATAACTACTATTTAGGGACTATCTATGCAGTAAAAATCGCTATTATTTGATACCGATAAATAGTAGGGGTTTAAGTTTTCGAGATTGTGTTGATTTTTGTCATCAAGTGATTGTTTTACGGCGTATTAAAAAATTATAAATACACTTATGAATAGATGAAATTTCAATCAAACACTTTAAACTTCTTTGTTTTGTTCACTTTAAACATTTTTCCAATGAAAATAATATTTTGAAAAGAAAAACAGTAATTACGTAAATTCTGTCACTACGCTACAGTAAAGAAAACAAATACTTAAAGAAAAGCCCTCAGTAATAGTTGTATGTAAATTTTTCCCACGTCTCAAACTTGAAAGTGAAAGTTGAAAGCAAGAATAAAACATTTCTGCTATTTTGTACAACAAAAACGGAGTCCTGCATTAAAATACATTTTAAAAGAAACTCCAATTGTTCCTGCAATACTTAGGATTCTTTTGTCGCAAATTTCATAACGGTTAACTTTTGCCAAAGAAAATTAATATCCAGAAGGTCTTAGTTTTTAGAGAAGGTCTTAGTTTACATACATTTTGCACCGAAGGGTAATATTGTGGCCAGGGAACTGGTCTCATGTCGGAAAAAACCCGGGTTCGAATCCCAGTCAAAGGCATGGGTGACTTTACCTACTCTCTGTAATATATATCTTTCTTATTGAGGGTAAAACGTTGGCCCACCTAATATGGTGTCCCCTGAAAAAATGGTCAACACATCTTCCCTTCTGATACCCGAATGACTAATATCAATGCTTGAGTGGGCATTGGCGGAAAAAGTATCTTGCTTTTCAGGGGTTGGAAAGAACTTCTGGTATTTACATAAATGACAAAAAGTAGCCCAGTTTCAGAATGTTGCTTACGTGGAGAAGAGATGAAATTCAGCTAGGCGAACCTTTGATTCGATGGAGATACAAATCTGTTTAAATCTATTTTCGATAGGGATTTAAAGATAATCTTCCAATAGAAGAGAATTTTTCATCCTCCATACTAATCCACGGACTACCATTTTGAAAATATATGTCCGGACGGAATATATTTAATCAGCAAGTAAACAATATTTTTGAATAAGTTTAAAATACGCTATATTGAATTTAGTTACCTGATTTTAAAGTATTTACAATTTTTTTTTAAAGCTTAGTAGTTTTTTTGATGGTTAAAACTTTAAAATTACAATACTTGCAACATTCATACTTAAAATCCGGATACTAAACTGAATAGAACACATTGAATAAATAATAAAATAAAAATATTAATTAGTTACTGAATTTCGGAACTATCCTCTTGTCTGCAGAGGACCTTTCGTCGTCATGGAATTGTTCCAGAGGATTAACAAAACAAGCAATTCTACGAATTCTTCCATTTATAAAAATTGCACACCGGTTAATTATAAATTTTATATATTTTAAACTTTTATTTAAATGGTGGTAGTTATAGTTTTTCAAAAATAGAGAAATTTATGTATTAATTTATGTATTTCTCATAGGAAATTCGAAATAAATTTACACTTTTATGCTTGTAACACGAATTTATGTACATAATTTCTTTAAACTACGTCTACGTGCAAAAATATTTTTTTTTCGTGTGTTAACGTTAATCTTCTTTCGGTTTCATTGGATCTGAGAAATTTAGAGTCAACTCT